GATAGAAAAACTAAAGTGGCTGTGCTGCCTGATGATGACTATTGGACTGGTGCTCTTAGGGACTCAACCTGACTGCCAGAAACAAAGGAAAAATCAGAATGGTTTTTGATGGATCCATAGCAAGTCATCCCTATGGTGCCAATGTGTGGTGGCAGCATTCCAAGCGCGTTGCTGAAGGTTTTAATAAAAACGGACTGTTATGTTTGTACTCATACAGACCGCTCTGGATGAGTTGAAGATTTAAAGAGGGTTTGCCTACTGAAGGGACAGATTTTTGAAGCTTTTTATATTCTTGATAAATCTTACATTTTTGCTTAAGTTTTACATTTTAATCCTTTTCATATTTTTGTTTTTTGCATATTGATCTTTGATTACTCAATTCCCTATCTGCAATGCATTTATGATGTGTGTAGTAAAAATCTTTTTAGAAGTGCTATGTACTAATGTTTATATGCACAAGAGGAGGGGATGTTAGGTTTATTCAATGATGATTATAAAATTAATGTGTGTTTATGAAACATTTGTGCAAGGGGATGCTCCACTCCTGTCTCATGATTCAGTCAGGAGACCATCCTGCCTTGTCATTCTGATGCAGCCTTCTGTCTTTATGAACTGATCAATTGTTCTGTCAGAACAATACTCTGTTTGTAACCCTGTGTCATGTTCTGTTAATAAAACGCTCTGCGGAGGAGGTCAAGTGGGAGACAGTGTGTTTGAGTCTGGGGTTCAACTGTCTCTCCTTTCTGCAGAAATTTTATCCATTATTGTTTATTTCAGTTTTTCTTTTGCAAACCTACATTTATGAACCCCGACAGTTTCAACCATGACACATGAAAAGTGGGGTGAACCCTGATAGAAAAGTGAAACTGGAAATTGAGCTGGAGGCAGATGCCCACCAGTTTCACCACCTTAGCAATAGGTAACGGCCCAATGAACCAAGGTGCCAGCTTCCTACTTTCCACCCTCAAGGGCAGGTCCTTGGTGGAGAGCCAAATCTTCTGACCCTGCTGGTATTCAGGAGCTGGGACCCTTCGGCTTTTAGCAGCCTTAGATCTAAGAATAATGAGCGACACACACAGCTCATATTTGCATTCAATTGAAAACAACACTTCTCATTGGATAATGTCAGGGCTCATAGCAGTTATTAGCATATACTAGTGTGCACGATTCAGACCATCTACTAGATATTTCTGATTCCAGTTTATCAAAGCGCTTGCCAGAGTCTGTTCAGCTAACAAAGGAAGATTCAGAAAAAAAGAAAACACTCAAGTTTTTGTGCAAACTGTGCCCACCGAGACTTTACTTTAATCTTTATTCATTTATTTATCTACTTATTATAATTGTTTTTTGTCCCTCACTACCAGAAGTGACACTGTGTGGTGTGGAGGCTGCAGAGCCTCCGACTGGATGAATGTGACAAGACAGGCACGACAAGGACAGCAGAGAAGATCATCAGGGCTCCTCTTCCCTCCATTGAAGACATTTCATCCCAGCGCTGCATTTCCCAAACCTGTACCATCATTAATGACCCCTCACACCCCTCCATGGACTGTTCTCCCTGCTGCCCTCTGGGAAGAGGCTTGGCAGCATTTGCTGCAGGTCCAGCAGGTTCTGCAACAGGTTCTTTCCTGCTGCCATCAGAACGTTGAACTGTTGAATCTCAGGTGTTTGCATCACACATGAAAACATCATATTTGCACTACCAGCATGGCTGATTTTTTTATAATCCCTTTAAATAGAACACAACTCAATGTTCAACTGCATTTTGCGCAATATTTATTCATTCATTTTGCACAGCACCGAACCTTTCCATGTCAATGCAACATAACTTTAAACTGCTTTTCCATTCCTCCTACATTTTCTGCATTTTTTATTACAGCTGCACTATATAAATTGTTATGTCCATTTCACAGTTTAAAGCCGCTTATTCAATGCAGAAAGCCTTATGCATCCAAATTTCGTTTTGTATACTCTCTGTGTATACTAAAGGACAATACAGTTTGTCTAAGTCTAAGTGTGCTTCCATAACTGTATGAGGTGAGATCAACGGAAATCAGGGAACATAAAAACAGCAAAAAGAAGACAACGGAAAACCAAGGTAAACATCAACAAAAGCTTTAAGAGCAGCAGGTAATGGGTATTCTTTAGATACACATCTGTGTGGTACAGTATATATCTGTAGCTTCAGCTTAGTATTCAGTATTAGTGTGTATCTTGCAACACCTGGAACAAAATTCACATAGTATGTATGTATGGGCATGCTCAATATAAAGTATTTACAAAGCCTATTCAGAAGGAAAATAAGCTTAATAGCTTATTTTCTGGGTGGCCCCAGACTCGCCCTACAGAGCCTAGGACAGATAAAGTGTCATGATGGGTCTCTGAGTTAAGCCCAAAATGCAGAACACACATGGAAAACGGGGTAAAAGTTCAACAGAGTTTATTATGGTTCACAAGCACACGATAAAGAACTTAATCTGGAACAAGTTCAGGGCTGGTTCACTAGAGTCTTGACTGGGACTGGAGACTGTGGGTTAGCAGAGTTTATAAGAAGCTAAGCTTCTAGCTTCAGGCTTACCATGGCAGACCTTGATCTGAGCTTCCAGCTCACTGCAGAGAACAACAGGGAAAATCCACGTAGGATTCTTCAGGCTGAGCTTCCAGCTCACTGCAGAGAACAACAGGGAAAATCCACATAGGATTCTTCAGGCTGAGCTTCCAGCTCACTGCAGAGAACGACTGGGAATTTCCACATAGGATTCTTCAGGGTGATTCCACATAGGAACCTTCAGGTTGGCTCACCAGGGCAGATTAGCAGGTTAAGCTCTCCTAGAGCTTCAGGCTTGAGACTGGTTTCCTGTGATGCAGCTCTCCCAGAGCTTCAGGCCAGAGACAGGGTTCCAGTGAGGCAGCTCTTCCTGAGCTTCAGAACAGAGACAGGTTTCCAACTAAGATCAACACTGCGGCATGGAAGCAAGGCCTGGCAGGAGCTTATAAAGGGGAGGTCTCCTGATGAGTCGATTAACAACAGGTGTGCAGGAAGACTCCAGCCCTAGGAGACCCACGGCGCACTCTGCTGGAGACAGAGGGTAATCTCCAGATCCCAACAGTAACTCCAGCCCTAAGGAGAAAATACAAAGAGCAGAAGAGGATCCTCGGCGCCCTCTGGTGGGCAAGCCTGAGGATCCCAACATAAAGAGGCAATCCTGGCCCCAGATATCCAATTGCACCCCAGATCACTGTGACACAAGGTGGGCAGACATAGAGATGGCCACAGCCAGAGGCTAGAGCAGGGAGCTAACCTACCAAAGAGCCCACCCCACACCCAGTCGCCTGTTCCAGGCTACTAATATCCATATTGTTCTCTCATACCAATGGCTGCCAGGAAATCACAACCCAGGAATTCAAACCCTCTAGGCCAAGTATGGCACACCAGCCACCCTTGCTGAGGCACCAGACATCCCCCAGCCTCCCCCTACCCAACTGCAGGCACAGGGAGCATGCAGGGTCAGGACAAGCAGCAAGGCAGACCCGCACCACAAGTTGAGATGCATCTGTGCACAGTGATTGTATCCCACCTGCCGCCAGGCACGTCAGTCAGCCGGCTTCCCCACAAGGATCAGTCCAAACCATTCAATGTCCCAGACTCCCACCTAATGCCAGGGACTGGCAGTGGACAGCACCATAGAAAGGGAATAAACAACTACATAACCCAAGGAGAGTGAAAAACCCCGACCCAGCCATAACCACTCCATCCCCAGTAAGAGCAGAGAGAACAGAGCTGCCGGCCCCCCTCCCGCTCTGATGCACTGTTGTTGACTTTTAACTACTGTATATATATATATATATATATATATATATATATATAAAACATATAACTATAAAAAATATAACCGCGGATGCCTGGGGGACAGTGATTCGCCTACGTTATGAATGCTGGCGCACCATAAAGAATAAATTATGAATAGTTCAGTTTGTGCCTTCAAGTCGATCGCCCATAGGAAGACGTTAGTTGGATATAACAAAATGGAATATCTTCAGAACAGCAGCTCCAAATGACACAAAACTTATATGGGTGAGTAAAACATGATGTAATAATGTAAAATGAAGGGCCAAATGTAAAAAAAAACGGGTTCCCCTTTAAGATCCATGAACAGAGCAAACAGCATGGTGAGGTCCAACCCCACCCAAAGACAACCTTATCCTTATAGTAAAAATGCTGAGCTGCTTTTGTTTCGGCTGAACATTGGATAATTCTTAACCACAGTCCAGTTACACCATATTAATGCAACATCTCAAAAAACTTAGGCTGGGCCTTCGCACTTCTGAGTTAACACTGGAACTACCAGGATTTTTCTGCCTACCTTGAACTACCAGAGAGGGGTCAATTGACCCGGAAAAATCCACTAAAAACTATATTAAAAGCTTGCCTTAGGGTTCCCTTCCCCACACAGGCTCAAGCGACTCTGTGACAGCTATGAGCTGCTAACAGCCACATTTCCACAACAAAAGGAGTGTCCGCAGGAGGTCCAAAGGTCAAATGACCCTCTTGTAGGGCTTTTAGGTAAAAAAAAAGGACAATTGACCCCTCCGTAGTAGTTCTAGTGATGGTTGGTCGGGGCTGCTTTCAGCGATGGGGAGATATGTTTGTAGGTTCTTATGCCAATCTCCGGGAGTGGTGAGTTCTATACATGGTGGCCTGTTGTCCCTGTTGGTGGGATGAGGGTCAAAAGCACTGCATTTGGTAATCATATATTTCACTTTTCTTTTAGTTAACTATTATTGGTTAAAAAAAAGGCCTAGTGCCAGTGCAGCTGTCTAATTGGAAGTAAAGAATGTGGATTACTAAATATTACCTCACACAATAAGACCATGTAAGCACACACACCTCACCCTCACCCCCACCCAACTGCTTCTAAATATTAATCAACACTGATAGCTCAGGTAACTGTCAGAAAGATAGCTCAATGCCATCAGATCTACATCTAGAAGAAGCTATTTTTTATTCAAAGAATGGCTTTAATGTTTTTAAATTTTGCCTATTAATTTCTTCTACATTTGTTAATATTTCCATTTATTTCATTTAACTGTAACTTGATAAAGAAGTGCTTTTTAACATAATTTCAGCAGCAAACGACCAGTTTTTTAAAACATTTCTTTATTTTTTTAGTTAGATGGAAAACAACACCTTCAACAGACCCATACTCCAGCTGGAGGGCTTAAAAGTTCGAGAGGATTCTGTTCATCTTGTCTTTTTCCTCTTTCTGTTTTCCTACATAGTTTTTATGATTATGAATTTGGGCATTTTAGCAATAATTTTTATGGAAAAGAACCTTCATCAGCCGATGTATGTGCTGTTTTGTAACCTGACCATCAGTGATATCATTGGAAGTACTCATATTTTACCCCGTTTGCTCTCAGACATCTTACTGCCTCCTGCTGAACGTCTCATCGGTTATTATGAATGTGTGGTTCAGGCTTTTATTACGCACAGGTTTGGCACTACTTCACACACTGTACTGATGGTAATGGCCTTTGACAGGTATGTGGCCATCTGTCATCCTCTGCACTATAGCACAATAATGACCAGGAAAATAATTGTTCAGTTGATCGTGTTCTCATGGGGAGCACCATTTGTTCTGGTTGTAATTCTGATTGGTCTGACCGTACGGCTGAACCGATGTAGGACTCTCATCACCAACCCGTTCTGTGATAACGCGTCTCTTTTCAAGCTCTCCTGTGAGAGTGTTGTCATTAATAACATCTATGGTCTGGCTTTCACTGTGCTGCTGTTTGCAACATCTATTGGCTGCATTGTTCTAACCTATGGTAAGATCACTGCTGTCTGTCTGAGCACTAAGAACAAATCCTTAAACAACAAAGCTGTTAAGACCTGCAGCACTCATCTGGTTGTTTATCTTATTATGTCGCTAAGTGGAATTACAATCATAGTTCTCCATCGGTTCCCTCAGTATTCAGATTATAGAAAACTCTCTGCTATTCTGTTCGTTATTGTGCCGGGGAGCCTGAACCCGATTATTTATGGTTTACAGTCAAGGGAGATACGAACTTTCTTATACAAGATTTTTCTTTATCAAAAATGTTTGCCATGCTGTAAAATTAAATCATTGATCAAACCTCAGAAAGATTGATAAAATAAATACTAAAACAAGAGAAACATGCATTTGGGCAATGAATCCATTATTCATTTAATCCACTTCATCACATATCCTCTCAAAGCAATTCACAAAGAAGATAGTTAAATCAGATCATCCAGTCTTATAAGTTAAAAGCTTTCGATCCAAGGAAACCCAGTGCCATTACATCTACGACAATCCCTCACACCGAACACACATGCAGTGACAATAGAGGGGTAAAACTCCTTTTTTGCAGGAATAAAACTTTCATTAGAACCAGGTTCATTGAGAGAGGCCCTATGTCGAAGTGGACTTCTTTCAGAAGAAGTGAGAAGCAGACATCAATGGGAAGATGGAGCATGAATCTACAATCACTTGCAATTTTAGAAAAGCTAACAGTAAACTAGATCTACAGTGGCTCTATCTGGGAAAGAAACAGAAAATAAGATGAACTCTGGACCAGTTCTCATGTCAAAGGATGAGAAAAAAAAACATCCAGTTAGCCACAGTAAAAGCTGAGCTCCTAGCTTTGTATAGGAAACACTGAAAAACAGGTCCAACTCTATCATCTGTATTCTTAGGTATGGATGGAAACAGCCAAGCTAATGCTTCCGTCCATGGTGGTCTTACATTCAAACAGAACCAGACCAGATGCAGCTACCATAACAAAAAGCAAAGAGAGCATAAAGCTAAAATTAAATACTGCAGGACAGGATAGAAGAGATAGAATGAAGCAGAATGATGAAAAGGAGTCCCTTTGTCCCTATGTAGTCTAAGCCTATCACATCATAACTGCAGAGATCGCCCAGGATGACCTGAGTCATTCTAACATTACTATGGAGTATTTAACTCCACGAGATCTTAGCTTTGACAGTGGTGCTGGATGTAGGAGATTGCCCTTCATAAAAAGATTTTTCAAAGTTGCTTACTACTTAACCTATATTTTGGTCAAAGAGACCAATTTGTATTTGTCAAGCTCAGAACAGAAGGATACAGTATTAAAAGTGGACAAAGAGATTTCTCAAAACGTTTATTGAAAACTGAACCAAAGTGAAGGATGGTGTGGTCTCATAGTTCAGTCTGAACCCAGAGGATGAGGATGGTTCATGCCAACCGGGTTGCCAACGTAGAGCAGCAGTCACCACAAAGAGAGTCCCAGACACTAGAAATTACAACAGGTTTCAACCGTGACACATGAAAAGTGTGGTGAACCCTGATAGAAAGGTGAAACTGGAAATGGAGGAGCTGGAGGCAGACGGCCACCAGGTTCACCACCTCAGCAATAGGTAACGGCCCAATGAACCAAGGTGCCAGCTTCCTACTTTCCACCCTCAAGGGCAGGTCCTTGGTGGAGAGCCAAATCTTCTGACCTTGCTGGTATTCAGGAGCTGGGACCGTTCGGCTTTTAGCAGCCTTAGATCTAAGAATAATGAGCGACACACACAGCTCATGTTTGCGTTCAATTGAAAACAACACTTTTTTGGATAACGTCAGGGTTCATGGCAGCTATTAGCATATACTAGTGTGCACGATTCAGACCATCTACTAGATATTTCTGATGCTAGTTTATCAAAGCGCTTGGCAGAGTCTGTTCAGCTAACAAAGGAAGAGTCGGTAAAAAGAAAACACTCAAGTTTTTGTGCAAACTGTGCCCACCGAGACTTTACGTTAAAACCCAGAATTACAAAACCTTAAGCCTTGAAGTAACAAATGCATGGACTAATTTCTCATCATCATGCCTGGACAGTATATTTTTAATTTTTGCAAGATTCTGCAGATGAACAAGAGAAATTCTTGAGACCTCTTACAGGATTCAAATGACAAGTCCTGATCAAATATAACACCAAGTGTAAAGGTGGGGTAGAGGTTGGTTGAGAACCCAAAGGCAGAGATGAAGGAGGCAGAGATGAGTTCTTGCAGGTTTAATTAAATAAAAATGAAAATGACAGAAACAATATCCAAGAATCAAAATACTAGAAACCAAAAACCAGGAGACGTCAGGTGAAAACAAACATGTGGAGCTAAGTAACAACAAGAATATATATATATATATATATATATATATATATATATATATATATATATATATATATATATGTGTGTATGTATATGGGAAGAAAAAATGGACTGGAATGGAATGAGCTAATATGGAGCAGGTGTGAATAGAAGTAAATTGAAGGGAGCTATAGAGGAAAGGAGACAGGCACAAGCGGGCAACAGTGTTGGGATCTGGAGGCTTTGTCCACCTTCTCCACCAGAGGGCGCACGAGATCTCGTGAGGGCTTGAGCTGACTGCAACACCTGTCTTCCAGCTGCTCATCAGGAGGCCCTATTTAATGAGGAACAGGCTGACACTTCCCTGCCAGAGTGTTTGCCAGTAATGGTACCAGCAAAACCTGAACCTGCTTCTCTGGATCTGTTTTCCCTGATTTTTGTGAATCTGCCTGACCCTCTTTCTTTCTGCCTCACAGATCCAGTCCTGTCAGCTCAACCTGAAATCCTGGAGAATATCTCAGTCTGGACTCTGCCTGCCTGCACTCAGTTAGCCTCTGCCTAGCTTTCAGTCCTCCGCCTGCCTACACTCTGTTCAGTCTCTGCTTGCCCTCAGCCCTCTGCCTGCCGACTAGCCTCTGGACTGTCAAAGTTCTCCCCCTGCTGATCAGTTCCACCTCTGAGCAGGTATTTACCCCATCATCTCATAAACGGCAGTTTACCTGGAACTCCTCTAACCTCTCTGTCCTCCTCAGTGGTGATCCTGCCGTGACCAGTCTGACCACCCAAGTTCCAGTTCACATTTTTATAAACATTTTGTCAATAAACCTTTGAACTTTTTCCCTGCCTCCGAGTGTTTCTGCATGTGGGATAGACATCTAAATCCCAACATGACAAACAGAGAGTAACAAAAATGCAACACAACTTAAATAAAGTTAGATCAGATAGTTAATGCATTTTTTTATTTTATGATTGGATATTGGGCCGCAGCCCAGCCAAAATGAAAAAAAAAACCTGCTCTACAATCCTCATGCCTCATAAAGGAGGACAAATACACGTCGGCCAGACAGCGGACAATGCAGTGGAAATACTGCCTAAAGCTGGACATCTGGCCACCCTAACTCTGGCTCGGGGACTGGCCCGCCATAGGGCTCTGGCTCGCAGAGCCAGATAGTATTAAAGGCTGCACTAAAGCTATCCCCTTCAATGTCAGCATGGATGTTAAAGTCCCCCTCTATGATGACCCTGTCAGTATTCAACACTAAACTGGATGGGAACTCTGAAAACTCATCAAAAATTTCATAGTAAGGACCTGGTGAATGATATAAAGTTACAAAAAGAAGAGTGTGGCTAACCAAGGTCCTTTTTTTTATTCCTCATTGTGTTTGTAGAGGAAAAAAAGACTTAGAAGTCTATACTAAGAGTTTCCCCCCACTCTGTCGTTTGATGTGGTTTGTGGTTAAAGCTCTTTAAGTTCCCCATCTACGTTCAATTTAGCTGTTATTACTTAAACAAAAATAAATATAATCACTGAAGAATTCGTACTTAAATTTTTAACACATTATTTCTTACACCCATATCTAACTTAAAGCCTTTGTCACACCTTGACAATTTAGATAAACAGCGACAAGGCCAGAGTTACAGGGAGATGAAAGTAAAGAATGTGGATTTCTTAACATTACATCATACAGTGACGCTACAGGACACTCCCCTAGTGTTAAAAGTGCCTCTAGAAATACATGTACATTAATTCTTCAGCTAATAAGCAACCTTAAACCAAGCAGTTATCAGTCTATTTTTTAAACAGGGGGCTTAAACACTGTCTATACATTTCTTCTACATTTGTTACAACTTTCCTTTATTTCAATTGTTAACCTAAGCTTATTAGGTAGATGCTTTTTAACATAATTTCACCAGAAAATTTTTTTCTTTTAAGCTAGATGGAAAACATCACTTTCAACAGCCCCATACTCCAGATGGAGGGCTTAAAGGTTCCAGAGGATTCTGTTCAGCTCGTCTTTTTCCTCTTTCTGTTTTCCTACATCTTCTTTATGATTATGAATTTGGGCATTTTAGCAATAATTTTTCTTGAAAAGAATCTTCATCAGCCGATGTATGTGCTGTTTTGTAACCTGACCGTCAGTGATATCATTGGAAGTACTCATATTTTACCCCGTTTGCTCTCAGACATCTTACTGCCTCCTGCTGAACGTCTCATCGGTTATTATGAATGTGTGGTTCAGGCTTTTATCACACATATGTTTGGCACTACTTCACATACTGTATTGATGGTAATGGCCTTTGACAGGTATGTGGCCATCTGTCATCCTCTGCACTATAGCACAATAATGACAAGGAAAATAATTGTTCAGTTGATAGTGTTCTCATGGGGAGCACCATTTGTTCTGGTTGTAATTCTGATTGGTCTGACCGTACGGCTGAACCGATGTAGGACTCTCATCACCCACGCGTTCTGTGATAACGCGTCTCTTTTCAAGCTCTCCTGTGAGAGTGTTGTCATTAATAACATCTATGGTCTGGCTTTCACTGTTCTGCTGTTTGCAACATCTATTGGCTGCATTGTTCTAACCTATAGTAAGATCACTGCTGTCTGTCTGAGCACTAAGAACAAATCCTTAAGTAACAAAGCTGTTAAGACCTGCAGCACTCATCTGGTTGTTTATCTTATTATGTCACTGAGTGGTGTTTCATCTATAGTTCTCCATCGGTTCCCTCAGTACTCAGATTATAGAAAACTCTCTGCTATTCTGTTTGTTATTGTGCCGGGGAGCCTGAACCCGATTATTTATGGTTTACAGTCAAGGGAGATACGAACTTTCTTATACAAGATTTGTTTTCATCAAAAATGTTTGCCATGCTGTAAAACTAATTCATTGATCAAACCTCAGAAAGATTGATGTAATAAAACTTAAAACACAAGAAACATGCATTTGGGCAATAAATCCATTATTCATTGCATTCACTTTATCACAAGACCTCTGAAGGCTTTTAACTACAGTTTG